ATGATGAAAAAAAAAATGCATCCCTGGGAAAAAATCATGCATAAAGCACTCACTGGACAGAGGTAAGTTATCATAATATTGGGGGGGGGGAGTTTACAGGAACCCTGCTGATCCTGAATTATTGATCTGACAGCCACGATACATTCACAACTGTTCATCCATCCACTCACAATTGGTATTGATTCAGTATGTTCTGCTTCTTGAAACCTACAGACCTTCCTCTGGGAAATAATATTGATCATCTAAGTGACAACATTCATTTGCAATGACCTATGTTCCCAGAACCGACACAGTCTTAAGAATGGGCTACATTGTGCTGAAGTTACACTGCATTAACCTGAACGTTTCCTGCTCAGCTAAGAAATTTCCCTGGAGGAATCATGGCCATGAAAATATCATTTTCTGTTGATGATTGGCACCAAACAGCGCATCATCTGAGATTTTTGACTTGGAAATCTGACAAAAATATGTCAGCATGTTGGGTTTTACAGTGATAATTTATGTTTTTCCCTATACAAGGATACAATAGTTTGAAGTATGAGGGTGTTGTAAGTTGAAAAATTGAACAATGCATTACTATGAAACTAAAAGTTATTTTTTGGTGATTATGCAAACATGTGTATAAAATTCTCTAACACTATCTTCAGAGAACTGCTCCTCAACATCCATTCCCCATTCATAAATTATAAAAGAAGACTTGAACTATTGATGATGCAGAACCCATGTGCTCTTCCATAACCTGTATTCTCTATTTATCAATGGGGGCAAATATAAAGAAGTTCACCCAATGTTAAAATGTATAAAGGTACACCAGGGACAGGGAAGGTAAATAACAGTGTTAAAAGTGAGACATTCCCCTCCATGTTCATACAACAAATGTACAGGAGGCCAGAAAACTGCAAAGTTTAACATATAGTCTCTCTCTCTCTCTCTCTCTCTCTCTCTCTCTCTCTCTCTCNATCCAAGGGCATATTTGAAATCTACACATATGACTTTTGGAAAGCCGTCTGTAGAAATTTTTCCCATAATTCCTTCCGTAGGGTAGATAATTAGCATTTAATTTTGCCATTTTTAGACAAGGGTGCATTGTAATGAGTGCCACACCTAGACCCCAAAACTGACAAAGCCCAAATTTTACGTGGAACGAGTTGAGATTATAGGTGACCTAAATCCAAGAGATGGGTACAGGGGCCCTTACCGTCTAGGAGGAGAAGCGGTAACGGTAGCCGTCCGGCGGAGCCGGCGGAGCCACAGGAGCCGGCGGAGCCGGCGGAACGATCCGGACGGGACTAAAACCATGTGTACCGCCAGCGCTAACGCTGGTGGTACAATAACAGTGTTAAAAGTGAGACATTCCCCTCCATGTTCATACAACAAATGTACAGGAGGCCAGAAAACTGCAAAGTTTAACATATAGTCTCTCTCTCTCTCTCTTTCTCTCTCTCTCTTCATTTGTGCTTCTATAAATTATGCTTCTATAAGACTTAGTTATTTTTACCAATATCCAAACATTCTCATCTTTTACTCCGCATTTGAAGGAAATGTTGCATTCAACCCTTGGCAGCTTAGAAAGGACTCACCATATTGAGAATGCCTCCTCCATTTTGTATAGCCTGCACAGCCACCAGTCTGTCTGCATTTGTCACATCAACATTGTTCACCTTCAAGACTACATCATTCACTCTGAAATTAAAGTTTTAATATTTTTTTCAAATCATATAAATGATGCTTAATGTCTTGGTGCAAGTGTTACATTTATTTTCATGAAAAAGAAGTGAAGTTGACACATTTCTCGTTTTAAGGTAACAAGGCAAACCAATAAGATCTACCTAAGTCTGATGCGCACAGTATAACTCAAGGAAAAATTGATAGTAAAACTCTTTGTCACACATTTCACTAAAGGCAAAATAAATGAAATTCAATAGAATTTTTCCACTCACTTGAGTTTCCCATCTGCATCACTCCCTTTAGTAACACTGCCAACAAAGATGGAGTAATCACTGGGAAATCGTGGGTCATCACGCCCTCCGACCAGCTCGAACCCAAAGTCTTCATCATTCACACCACCCTGAAGAGAAAATATCCATCTAGATTAGCACATAGTTTACTAATAAGAAATCATTACCACCAATAATCACCTCATTGTCATCAAGAATCCATTCCCGTCTCTGGCACTTTTCTCTTAATATCAACATTTCTGATAAGCACTATCTGACTGTTTGAGCCCATCACAAATGGTTAATGTTAGGTGATGATCACCCATCCTGCAGGAATAATTAGTTTGTGATTTAGAAGTCAGTTTCACACCACCAAAAATGATCTACTTTTCACAAAAATGGGAAGAACCTTAAAAGACTTATTTTGTGCTTTCAGATGTCAAACCCAGCACTAGTTAAATATATTTTTGATACATTTTTCTGATATAAGTGGATGAAATGGTTCTTTACAGTCTTTAGAAAATGCCTTATTCATTCTTTGCCCTTCACGTACCACATCAACCTCTAATGTTTCCGTCTCCCACTCCTGTAGATCGGTGTCTATGGCAGAATCACGACTGTGATTGTGACCAATAGCATTCAGCTGTTGCTTGCGGTTTTCTTTATCAAGCATGGCATCATAGTGCTCTCTGTAAATTTTAAAGAAGAGGAAAAAAATATGCAAAGTGGAAAGTTATATAATCTTTATCTTAAGCACTCTTGAAAGAGTTTACAGTCTTAATCTTAAGTACTCTGGAAATAATTCACAAAAAGATTATCACAATTTTTTTTACAAATAAGTTGTTTGGCATGCTAAATCACAATGCTCCTTGTCATGGTGCATTACATAAAAACTATGAACAGGTTTTAAAAAATCTGGAATTGCTATTAAAGCAAAGAAACCAGTTCTTACTTTATTGTCTTCAGTTCCTTCTCCTTTTTACTCTTATCCTTCTTAAGCTCATCAGAATCTCTAAGAGCTTCTCCAAGTTCGCTTACTAAGCGATCACGTTCACGACGGAGCTGATCACAGAGTGCTCGCATGCTCTCGCGTTCCAGAACAATTTTGTCTCGCTCACTGAATGCCCAGTCTCGGCGGTTTTTGGCAGTCTCAGCTTCCTTTCTGACTTCTACATGCAAAAATTAAATTAAAACATTTTATCACCCTACACTTCACCATTTATAATATTCTCATAACAGTTGTTTATTAAAAAGACAAAACAATGGAAAAATTGCTCTTCCATTTAACTACCCCCCCACCAAGATATACGCACCAATATGTAATATTTAATATATTTTAGAAAATACTGGGAAATATTGGATCTCATTACATTTACAGGCTATCCCACTGTCTACCAGCTGCCATTGCATTCAAACATGTTATTAGATGCTGAGTCATTGTTAAAAGATAAAATGACTCAAAAATGATTTAACTGACATTTTGATGTTCATGCAAACTGACACTTGGACACAAATATCTTTTCTGGCAAAATTTTATACCTTTGCTACACAACCACTTATTATATGCTTCTGGCAATCCATAAAACCATTAACCAGTTATTTCAAAATGACAACAGGTTTTAAAGAACCCCTTTTTTTCTAATCACAGGATAGCAGCAGATAAATAATTGGATATAGACACCAAAGGTGTGTCTACAATGATAGTAAAAATAGGGAATATTGTGTCTATCAAATTGAAAGAGACCCAATGTCAACAATAAAATCCACATAATTTGGCTTTCATTACTTTGCAGTCATTATTGGCCTTTATAAGGTGTTAAAGCTAAGAATAAAACTCTAGTATAACAACAGTCCTGGGCTGTTCAAATACTGTTAACACCACCAGACTGTCTGTACAGATGATTAAACAGCGATGAGCAGCCTTGATCAATACCCCCAACACACTGATGAATACTGATAAATTAAGCCATCATATCTTGACTTGCATAATGGATATGAGATCCCCTTCACCATCCCTATGGACTTCCCCCATGGCCCTAATGATGAAGCATTTACATAGCATAACTGCCCTGGATGTGACTAGACCAGTGTGTCTGTGTATGAAACAGCAACTGATCTATGTAACAACTGAGAAACTTTTTGTACCCGACCTACATATGTATTAACCACAAAAAAAAATAAATAAATAAAATAAAATAAATAAATAAATAAATAAATAAATAAATAAATAAATAAATTTGACTAAAGTAAAAGAAAACTGAAATAAAATCCTTGGGCATTTTCTCCNGACAAACCCAGCACTAGTTAAATATATTTTTGATACATTTTTCTGATATAAGTGGATGAAATGGTTCTTTACAGTCTTTAGAAAATGCCTTATTCATTCTTTGCCCTTCACGTACCACATCAACCTCTAATGTTTCCGTCTCCCACTCCTGTAGATCGGTGTCTATGGCAGAATCACGACTGTGATTGTGACCAATAGCATTCAGCTGTTGCTTGCGGTTTTCTTTATCAAGCATGGCATCATAGTGCTCTCTGTAAATTTTAAAGAAGAGGAAAAAAATATGCAAAGTGGAAAGTTATATAATCTTTATCTTAAGCACTCTTGAAAGAGTTTACAGTCTTAATCTTAAGTACTCTGGAAATAATTCACAAAAAGATTATCACAATTTTTTTTACAAATAAGTTGTTTGGCATGCTAAATCACAATGCTCCTTGTCATGGTGCATTACATAAAAACTATGAACAGGTTTTAAAAAATCTGGAATTGCTATTTAAGCAAAGAAACCAGTTCTTACTTTATTGTCTTCAGTTCCTTCTCCTTTTTACTCTTATCCTTCTTAAGCTCATCAGAATCTCTAAGAGCTTCTCCAAGTTCGCTTACTAAGCGATCACGTTCACGACGGAGCTGATCACAGAGTGCTCGCATGCTCTCGCGTTCCAGAACAATTTTGTCTCGCTCACTGAATGCCCAGTCTCGGCGGTTTTTGGCAGTCTCAGCTTCCTTTCTGACTTCTACATGCAAAAATTAAATTAAAACATTTTATCACCTTACACTTCACCATTTATAATATTCTCGTAACAGTTGTTTATTAAAAAGACAAAACAATGGAAAAATTGCTCTTCCATTTAACTACCCCCCACCAAGATATACGCACCAAAATGTAATATTTAATATATTTCAGAAAATACTGGGAAATAATGGATCTCGTTACATTAACAGGCTATCCCACTGTCTACCAGCTGCCATTGCATTCAAACATGTTATTAGATGCTGAGTCATTGTTAAAAGATAAAATGACTCAGAAATGATTTAACTGACATTTTGATGTTCATGCAAACTGACACTTGGACACAAATATCTTTTCTGGCGAAATTTTATACCTTTGCTACACAACCACTTATTATATGCTTCTGGCAATCCATAAAACCATTAACCAGTTATTTCAAAATGACAACAGGTTTAAAAGAACCCCTTTTTTTAATCACAGGATAGAAGCAGATAAATAATTGGATATAGACACCAAAGGTGTGTCTACAATGATAGTAAAAATAGGGAATATTGTGTCTATCAAATTGAAAGAGACCCAATGTCAACAATAAAATCCACATAATTTGGCTTTCATTACTTTGCAGTCATTATTGGCCTTTTCAAGGTGTTCAAACCAAGAAAAAAACTCTAGTATACAATAATAGTCCTGGGTCTTTCAAATACTGTTGACACCACCAGACTGTCTGTACAGATGATGGTTAATTAAACAGTGATGAGCAGCCCTGATCAATACCAACAACACACTGATGAATACTGATAAATTAAGCCATCATATCTTGACTTGCATAATGGATATGAGATCCCCTTCACCATCCCTATGGACTTCCCCCATGGCCCTAATGATGAAGTATTTACACAGCATAACTGCCCTGGATCTGACTAGACCAGTGTGTCTGTGTATGAAACAGCAACTAATCTATGAAACAACTGAGAAACTATTTGTACCCGACCTACATAAATGTGTATAAC